CCCCCCCCCCGGGGTGTAGAAGGATTTGGGTTGGCACCGCCCTGACCTGCACTGTTCTCACTCTGACAGCTTTCAAAACTTCAAAACCCAAGGCTTAACCACAGCGACCATGGGCTGCTGCTCTCTTAGCTGAATCCGTTCCAGCAGGAACCCTCCAACCCCAAAAGAACACGAGCCGCCTTGGATGCATGGCGTCCCCACAAACCACAGGGCGAGTTACCTTCTTCGGGATCCAGGGATATTGTGACAGAGTCCTTCCACACTTCGTGTACCAGTGTGCCGTTGTAGACGATGGTCCAGGCCGTCATGTTCACGGTCACCGTCTTCATGTCGCTCGTCAGGTTTTTGAGTATCAGGGCCATGTTCACTTCTTTGCCCACCTCCAGGATGCCAGTGACCTTGAACTTCCCAGAGATGCTGGGCTCCCTCCCCTCTCTTTCCAAGTGTCTCGCAGACGTGGCACCAAAAGCCATGCGGGGTTTAAGTTTCCCCAAAGCCTTCTCAAACACTTGTCTCTCCTCGCTGGAACCTGTGTGGTTGGAAAAGAGGGAAACATCTCAGGGAGGGGGTGGAGCCTGGACAAAGGACAGCGCTCTACCTGGAAAGGCAGCCTGGGACTAATTGGCTTTGCCCACTGAGCCACGATTCTCATCGAAGCAAGTGGCCACGCTCTCGGGGCCTCCATTTCATCCTCCTTAACGCGAGGCTCACAGACCCACCAGTCTGTGGCGCTTTCCCTTTCAGTGGGGAAAGCTTTAGCAACACCTGCACCAAGTTACCATCTGGCTTGATATTTTGCTCAGCTTAATCAGTGTAGATTTCGTGCCCCTTTTCTTTGTTTTATTTATTTATGTTTGGATAAAAGGTCCCTGGCGAGAACAAGCAGGTACTTTAAAAATAAGTGACGGGGACACTCGTGTGGCTCAGTTGGTTAAGCGTGCGACTCTTGATTTTGGCTCAGGTCATGATCTCAAGGCTCGTGAGTTCGAGCCACACACCAGGCTCTGCAAGGACAGCAACAGAGCCTGCTTGGGATCCTCTCTCTCTGCCCCTTCCCCTCTCACACTCGCTCTCGCACTCTCTCACTCAAAATGAAGAAAGGAGCTTTTAAAACAGAAAAAGTAAGAAAAACGGAGTCAAAAAAGGTTAGAGTGAGTTCATAAGCAAAAAGAGGGGAAAAAAGGTTATGATTTAGAATTGGCTTCATTAAAAAAAAAAA